TCACGCCATCCTTAAGGGCTTGAAGCCTTCATTTTCTCAAGTTTGGAGTGACCACGCCTGAAACTGGCGTGGCTACACTACATTAGTGGCATAATTATGAGTGCTCTGTCTTGAGCACGGAAATGGGTCATTTTGGCATGACCATGCCAGAACTGGGCGTGGTCACGCTAGGCCAAAATTAGGGTTAAGTACTCAGAGCGTGATGGAGGTTCCCTACGAGTTCCCTTGGCTCTGAAACTCCCCGAATAGATGGGAAATGATCTATAACCCTAGAAGAAGGCCCACAAATGCAGTTTAATACTGGAATAACCCCTCGAAATAGTGGCCATCCCCGGACCACACAAAGTGGGCTGAAACCCTAATTCTTACCCTATAGTCCTTGTGGGCGGGTTTTGTAACTGCGATTGGCCATAAACGAGTCTGAATGGATAGTGTAAGGTCTCTAATCATCAGGACGGGTATTCAACATGTCCTGGACCAGAGCTAACCCTATGGTGAATTTACCCGGGTAGGGCAAATCGATACAGTCACCATGCTTATGACACGTATCAGGAGGTTCAGATGGGTATCTTGAGCTTTAGGATGGTATAGATGAACTCCAACTTGTCTTGAGTTGTTCAAGTTGACACCCTACACTTGTAACTTAAAAAAATTGATTTCAACAGACCACTTTGTTAGGTTTGATTTAGTCGGCTCAATCGGTCAGGTTGGATTCAATTAGCTTCCAGGTCGCAAAAGTGGCTTGGTTGGTTGGATTTTTTAATCGGTTGGTCTAGCCTGCTATCGACCTTTGATCCCTAGATGGTGACTTCCATATTGCAGAATGAGATTATTGAGCGGAGAGTGTATCACTGTAACTTGATAGATAACTCATTCCTTGATGAGAAAAGTATTTTGAGACAATTTTGAGTCCCTGTTGTATGACTAATTTTTGTTCCCTGATGAGAAATCTCAGGCGTGTTTGTTGGTGTTATTTTGACCCCCAATTATTGAACTAAGGTAAAATAACAAGGTAAAATAACACTTATTGAACTAAGGTAAAATAACACTTTTTTAATGTGGTACCGCTCACCTACCACATCTCACCTACCGCTCACATACCTCCCACCTACCACTCTCTTGCTTCTATAAATAGAGAGGGTGTGAGGCTTAGGAGAGCAGGAGAAGAGATCTTATGTTACCACAAAGGAGGAGAGAATAGCTAGAGAGCTAGAGAGGAGGAGAGCAGCTTGAGGCATTGTATCAAGGTGTCGCTTGAGAGGGAGGCCATAAAAGGAAGATGAGGACTCATCTCTATGTATAAGCTATGTATTCTTTATTTCTTTTGCCTTAGTGAACTATTTGATTGATTCCCTCCCGTGGACGTAGATCCAGTTGGATCGAACCACGTAAACGATCTGTGTTTGCTTGTGCTCTTTGCGCCTCATTTCTATGCCAGGAAGTATATATCTCACAACAGTTGGATATATGATTATAGTGAGGAACTGAATTCTCTTCTCAGGTTGGATCTGTTGAGAGGTAGGTCGATACCTTTACTTGGTTTTCCTGTGGTAGTTTGCTTGGGCGTTGTTTTGTCTATTCAATTCCGATCGGCCTAGACTTGGATCATTCTTTTTGTCATTCTCCTGACTCGGTTGGCCTTTGCCCTTGGCTTAGATGGCTGCATCCAATTAGATGAGTGGGACCTCTTGGCCTTGTATCGCTTAGCCCTTTTTTGTTGTACTTTCTTTTTTTTGGACCGTTTGATTTCCTCGGGATTCATACTAGCACATTCTTGACATACACATAGCTTGCTTCCGAACCTCGAATAAACATTGGCGTAGGCATCCCCAAAATTATTTTGATTGTATTGGGATTGACTTTCACTCCCTTAACAGAGACGAGGTAGACATGGAACTTCGCTTGCTCTGCCCGAACAAACACTTAGAAGAGAAACTTTATGTTGCACTGCCCAAGAGAAGAGAATGTGTTGACAAAGTTGACGAAGTCTCTTTATTGCTTTTGTGCTTCACAAGCATGTCATCAATGTAGACTTTTAGATTTCTTCCCATCTAAAAGCATAATATGTTGTAAGTCAAACTTTGTCGGTCAAACTTTGTGATAGCTTATCTCAACATTTTGAGACCAAACGTTACCACCTTGTAGCAGAAGGCTCCTTCATGTATGATAAAGCCGATCTCTTCTCTTTTTAAGATTCATTTTGATCTGATGATATTTGAAAAAATATTGAGAAAATTTATTCTCAAGGACCCAACAATAAAATCCCACATCATCAGTGGTTAATGATGGACATGCGACTGTTATAAACCCTTTTTGAAATCTATGCACATTCATAGGCTCTCTTTTACTTTCATGACCATGATGACATTGGAGATCTTATCTGGGTAGCGAACTTCTCAAATGATTGGCTTTCTAAAGCTGTTGGACCTCCACCTTAATTGATGTTTTGGTTTTGTTTGAGAATTTTTATTTATTTTGTTTGATTGATGCTCTCCCAAGGATGACGTTGGGTTAGTGTTAGTGGTTTGTGAAACTAAGGTCCACCATGAGTATATTAAAAGAATTGAATATAAAGACACTGTTGTTTATCACATGAAAAATATGTTTGGAGAAGAAATTACTTTCGCAGAGCAAGCTAATCTAGAAATTCTTCCCATCTATTGCCTCGTCAGATGTGGGGATCTTAACAACTTTGACCTTTGCTGCGGTGCTCTCCTTGAGTGCAAAGACTAAGCACTTCTGGGTTTGGATTAGATCTCAACAAATAGTGACGATTCCACAACATAGGGGAACTTGACAATGAGTATCGGGTCAAGGTGGTAGCTTAGGAGTTATGTACAAGTCTACCAAAATAATTTTTGTAGGATGAAGGGGCTCCAATGATAATAAACTTAACTTATTTAATCTCATCAGTGTCATGATTTCCCTTAGGAACATCCATCGTAATAAAACCCCTCAGGGTTGTATCCTAGGAATCTAAAAATGTAACCCTGTCCTCCCAATAAGCTTGTGGAAGAGGAGGGCATCAATGAAGCTTTATGTGTCAATGGGTATTCACAGGGTCATGTAGTGGTTGATAACAGCGATGGCATCATCAAATATCTTGCAGTATGGTAGTTGAAGGTGAGAAGACGAGTAAGAGAAGCGTTCGGGGCATTTACCTCATACTTAGAATTACTTCGAAACCGAACCTACGATGATGGATTGCATCCTGTTATATATCTTTATTTCTCTCCTTGGCTCAGTAAGGGCTTTTCCTTGGTCTACTTGGCTTGGTGGCTGATCATGTATTCTTTTTGGTGGCATTTATTCATAATCTTCTTGAGAAAGAACTTGGGCATGTGATACTCATCAGTATAGAGACTGTCGTTATGGTTTTGACATTCAAGACGCGGATTTGCGCATCATCATTGGTCACTTAAAATACTCTTTCCTTTGGATTGTTAATATGATCATGGCAAGAAGTTTCCTCATAGGAGGCAGGGAGATGTCAGAATTGGTAGAGAAGATGATAGGGCTGGTGTCCTTGGCTCGACAGTGAGGGTGTAGTAAGGGCCTCCTTGGTTGGAGAAGTCAGCTCCTAGTTTGCTTTTATCGACGAGGAGCCAGAGGGTAGCTTTTCTTGACTCCAATCTTCCTCTTCCTTGAGGAAGTTGGAATAGAAAGGGTAGGCTGTTTGGTCTTTCGGACAAGCTCTTCAACGAAGATGAATATGGATGCTTTTCAAAGGAAACGTTGTTCAATGGCATCACATTACAAGGGTGATGAAATGGTATGACGGATCTCTGTCATCTTGAGTAGAGGAGTTTTGAACTTCGCAGGATAACTTCATCAAGATGAGAATAGATATTTTCCACAACCGTAGCTTTCCTCCTGTTTTATGGACAAGAAATTGATAGTTGTATGAAACTTGTATAACATTAGCAATACTAGTGCTTTGCTGACTAAGATTATCAAGCGAGTGTCTTAGTTATCTTTTATAAAAAAAAATGTTGGATCCCTCAAAATTATGGTTGTTGCATTTATCTTATGCCATGGTTCTTTTTCACAAAAAGAAATAACTGATGTTTCTCACATATGGCATCAAACTAAATAGACTGCTGTCTCATTTACTCAAGAAATTAGGGATAAAAATGTGCTTTAGAGGTTTAGAGTGGGATTTTATGGGAAAGATTGGAAGCCACTATTCTGGGCAAGTTACTCCACGAAGAGGCTGATGGGAATAGGTAGATATGAAATATGGAAGTCACACAAAGATTTGTATGGCAATGCGGTTAATACTACAATATCTAAAAGTACAGTGTAATTATTTGTATTTTATGAGCACTTATGATTGGATACTACATATACAACCTTTGCCTACTTTTAAGGCATGCAGTGGAGTTTTGTTTTTTTGTTTTTTGAGGTGTGCAGAAGGGGAATTTCACTGGGTTGAGTTTCATCAGAAGAGCATGAAGTAAAAAAGAAATTATAGTAAGCATAATGAGAAAAACAACTCCAAATGATTTACAACAGATTAAAGCAAGAAGTGAATGGACTCGGAGGAACAATGAGAGACGATTGGATGCAGCGAGTGCAGTCCAGGTCGGGTCAACTGCTCTTTTCTCATTAATATCATTGCGTCTTGAAAGCCAAAAAGCTCTTCTCATTTCAATTGTGCAATATTTAAATACACGTGGAGTTAGTTATCTCTAGTTATGGTCGCTTTTTACAGAGTTTTTAGTTAATCTGATGATATATTGAGTTTAGTGCTTGTATTGCTGAGATTGAATTTGAGATTATTTGATTTTCTTAGAATCCCATTATATCTTCAGGATGCACAATCAGGTCGTTTTGCATTCACAATTTTATAGTATTTAATGCTTTAAATGCTCCTCTCTGAATATTCCTAAACCCAGCAGCTTTTCTCCTATCCCTGCATTCTCTTTCTTCTATCTCAAGAATTGAAGAGCCAAATGGTTATTGGCTGATTCTAATTTCAACAAATTCTGCCGTTGCAGAATTTGATCAACCTAATGGATTCCAATTATCCCCTGGAAAGTTTTCAGACAAATCATGTCCTGAAGCTGAGAAGGTCCCTAAAAAGAAGAGAAAGAAGACTAAATTCGCATCATCATTTTGCTCATCCGAACAAGCTCAGACTGTAATGGCATAAGGATCTATGTATGGGACTGAGTTTTGAAGCTCAAATCTTCAGTAACATTTGCCTTGTCAATTAAGGTTGAAGCAAATGGAGAAGAAGAAAGAGAGCGTTACATGATGGTTTGATTTGCTTTCTTCCATTATTGAAGCAAGAGCTATTCAGGGTCTTGTTTCAAGTGTTTTTATAGATATGACTATCTGTATTTTATTTTCTTGGTTTTGTGCAAGTTTAACTAGAAATTTGTTTGCTGTGAAATTTATTTAAATGGCATTTTCTTGTTTTTGTGAAGTTTATATCTTATGGGATAGTGAAATGCATAATTTATTTTATTATATATCTGTTCATGCCTGTAAGTAACTTAAACGATTAATTAGTTGCATGTAAAATTTATGAAACATGTAAAAGCATTAAACTTTATAAATATAAGCCAAAACACAACTAGAAAAAAAAGAATTTTGAATGTGTATCAAGTAATTCTTTTGTATTTATATATCTTACAACAAAAGTTGTGGCTTGAAATCTATTCGAAAAAAATTAGATCCTAAGTTCCAGCTCATAGCTCGGCTCATTTATTTCGATCTGAACCAAAATTCTAATTGATTTTCAAGCTAAACTTATGAACATAGCCATTGTCATCTTGAACTTTCTATTATATATTCAACAGAATTCAGGTCACAAATTCTGACAAATACTGGATACGTCTCGACATATAAATAAAATTAAAGGAACAAAGTCCAATTGATTGATGACATGCTTTTCTTGATATGTTTATATTTTTCTAAATGATTTGGGCCAAAAATCAAGTTACAAAGCCTTTAAGTAAACAGCACAAATCATATTGCAAAATTCTCAACTTTAAGAAACTGTAGAGGATAAGCTCAACGAAGTTATTCTCCCTGCTATTGGCAAAGAGGAACCAAATAAGGTTCTCTGCCTATGACTTTAACACTCTCCCAAGAATAAATTATGTGACCAAAAATCATTTCTACTATTAAACATGGTTTATATGAGATAATCATGTAATTAATCAAAATAAATCTACTCACAAATCTCCTTAAATAAAATTAATTATTATTGTAATAAACCGACATACAAGGTATGAATATTCACATAACACCAAGCAAAGCATAACTTTCATGAAAATTAAAATAATATTCTCCTCAAAGAAGCCTATAAATTACACATGATATCAACATTCTATTCTCAGGAGCCACAACTGAGAAGTCTTTGCTTTAAGAGATTATAAGAAAAAATGTCTAATTTGAATTGCATATTGCTGTTAAGCCTTGCTCCATTTTTTACTTTGGCTGGTGCTACTCAGCACAAAGTTGGTGGGTCAATGGGTTGGACTGTGCCGACCGACCCGAATTCAATGTCTTATAATCAATGGGCCGAAAAAAATCGGTTTCAGATCGGCGATACATTATGTGAGTCAATAAATTGTTTATGATTAATCTTATTATTATGTCACCATAGGTGTTTTGAGCATAGGAAAAGACTTGATTTGTTAATAAGTTGTTAATCATGCTTTTATTTTAAAAGTAGAGGTGGATAATATGTAGAGGTGTTGCACTAAAATGTAGCATCAGCTTACTAATAACTTAATAACTTCATTCATTTGTTTATTACATCAATAATATTTAAAAGATTATGCCTTTTAAATATGTAGTGCTTAAAAATAATTATTTTCCTGCATTATGTTAAGAAAAACACAAAATTCATTAACAATGATAATAATAAAAAAAGAATTTTTAATCTTAAACATTTCTTTTCTAACTCCTGTACTCTTCAATGGCACATAGTGTTTGTGTACCAACCTGATCAAGACTCAGTTCTCCAAGTGGACAAAATCGCTTACAAACATTGCAACACCTCATCATACATAGCCAGATTTGATGATGGCAATACTGTCTTCACCCTGAACATGTCTGGTCCCTTCTACTTCATCAGCGGAGTTGAAGGGAATTGCATCAGGAATGAATCATTAATCGTCGTAGTCATGGCTGATAAAAGCATTTCATCAGCCTCTCATCCTCCACCACCATCACCAGAATCTGTGTCTCCTCCTCCACCGATGGAAGGTACTACACCATCCCCTGCTCCTGAAGTTGCAGCTTCTGTTCCTCCCCCTTCTCCTCCTAGTGGAGCATCCATGAAGTTGGTAAGCTACTTTGGCTTAGTTGGAGGTGGAGTTGGGTTATTGTTATTTGTTTTGTGAAGAGTTTGAGAGTGTGGGAATTAGGATTTTGGTGTTTGGTGGAGGGTATATTTTCATTTGTATGGCGTGAATAAAGGTCATGTGTCTCAAATGTTTTATGGGAAATTATAATATAATCAAAAAGATAAATTTTTAATTTTTTTAATATGCGATTGGAAGGGTCACATTATTGTTGTGAGTTAGCACCTTTCAATGTTTAAAATAAAGTCTTCATTAAATTTAATGCGGCTTTAGAAAGCTTTTGGATAATCACACACATATTTTGACTTAATTTTTAGATGTCAAAGCACCAAAGTGATTGGGTTTAAATCTAAAGAGTTGATTTTGAGATCATCTGGTTAAGACAGTGTAGTTTAGTGAGACATGTCAAAAATACCAAAAACATGTGGATTTGAGTTCAAATGTACTAAGATCAAATACTAAATTGGGAGCTCATTCTGTCCGAAATTTATAAATTTATACTCAGATGAATCAATAATAACTATAAAATGATAACTCAATTATGACTAAAACTATAAAATAATCCCTTGATTTTGGTGAAAGAATAGAATCTCCACTCAATGAATTTATAAATAAATTATGCTTTTACACATTTTGGAAATAATTCTTAGTAGAAAAATTTTTGGTTTCATGGAGAATTTATAACTTTGTCTATTATTCTTAGCCATGGACCATAGACTAATAACAATGCCCAATCCTTAGCCAACATTGATATTATGATCATTTGAAGCCCATTAATGGTGATCAATCAACGTTTGATGCTTGCTTTCTTAGTTGCTTTATCTCCCATCCTATTAAGAAATAGACCAAGATATGGATTGTCACCTAAAGCCTATTGATGACTAACATCTATTGTCCCCACACATGGAAATTTGACACCCATCTTATTGGGTACCTAGTCTTTTATTTATTTTTACACGTGAAGAAACAACCAATTGCTCGGCATAATCCATCGTTCAATATTCCCCATAAAAATATTATCAAAACGTATTAATAATTGACCTCTTTTTTTCAAGCACTAGTATGTAACAACCAACTAATTTGTCACTTTATCTCCTCTCTCCTCAAGATAACACCCAACTTGAACTCCCTCCATGACACTTTTTTGTTGTCATTCAATGCTTGTCAAATATTGAGACCTATTAGACATTAATTTTTAAAGTTCATATTGTCAGTCACAAGAAAGGTTGCAATCAAGTCAAGTCGAACTGAGTATGTCGTGGAATAAACGGTTTAAACATAGTATAAATTTTTCATGTTTGACTCGGGTTTGAGATAAACTTTCATGTAAATGTTCTTACTTGGCTTGTTTGTATATTGAACAAATATTTTAGTGAGTTAATAAGCAAGCTAAACATCAAATGAGCTTAAAATAAAATTATAAACAAATAGTTTTGTAAATCTTAATAAATAAATAATTAAATAATTTCTTAATTAGTATCAACCATTTTACACTAATTAAGGAAGATAATGTATATGTTGCAAGTAAATATTCTTGCAATTGAATAATATAAATATGTACTAATAAATTTGTTCATTTAAAAAATAATAATAAATTGCATTAAGTTAATATGAATATTAACTAATAACGAATAAATTATTTTTTACAAAAAGATAAAAGCTAAAAAAGTTCATTAAAAGATAAGAAGTATTTTGTGTGAAATAATTGATAAGGCATAAATGTTAAAAGCACAAACGATACACACAAGTATATGTGCCGACTAAATAGTGTACGTAACTAAGTCCATGTATCGATCCCATGGACTCCTAAAGTTGGTAAAAGTTATGGTATACTAGTTATGAGTTTAGCTTGAAAGTTTAAAATTTGATTATTTTAAAGTTTTTAGCCCTAATTTTTGAAAAAAGTAAATCCTTTTAGCAGTTTTGAGGTTGAACAAATGAAAGAAAGCCTCCCCTGAATTGGTCTTACGTAAATCAAATTCAGCTAAGTGATTCTAATGAGCTTGAAAATTAGAAACAATAATTTTCCTTAGCCCTTCCGGATAGTTATAAGAAAATTAGGGTTTCATATAACATATAGCTCCTTAACCATGCATAAGCCTTACTGTTTACAAATTTTTCTACACGATTGCGCCATCCTAACAATAATATTCCTATTCTCTTAGGTGTAGGTTAACCAAATCATTTCACTAGCTTTATCTTGTAGCACTAGATCATAACTCATTTTAATCTCTTAAGTGATTAGTTAAGAAGTAAATTGAACTCAAAAGGTTAAACAATCAACTTGTAATCACATCAACCTGTAATCACATAATAAAAATGTCACCAACTTGCATAAAGTCCAATTCAAAGGAGGAGAAAAGCTTAACTCTTACTCATTTCAGATGAAAATAATACAAATATTATTGCACAATCCAAATTGAAAGTTAAAACGATCTCGCTGAGGTTCTTCACCAAATTACATGAAGTTACACCATATTCTCTGAATTTCAACCCAATTTGAGTATAGAATAACCTAACAATAATATTCCTTTTAGAATAGCTTGTTCTTTTTAATAGTTTCTAACATTCATAAAATAGATAGATGAACCCATCAAATGAAGAAGAAATTTTAGACATTATGGAACGAGCAACAATTCTGACTACAATATTATGCAATAATATTGTAGATATTATTGCATAATATTAAATGAAGAAGATATGCTCCAGGGTCATTCAAGCAGAATTCATACTTTGTTTTAAATGTCGGAAGCAATTTTTTGCGATTTGCTCGAAGAATTGTAAAGTAATTATGGTTTGCATGATTGTCTCGATTTACAACTCGGGATGTACAAGCCGTCATATAATATATTATGTCACATAATAATTTCATTCATGCTGCTTTCGAGCTATTCCAATACTTCACAAAGATGATTAGCATAAATTTTGATATAAGGGTTAACTCTTTGGTTAGATTGTAAAACAACATTGTGAAGCTCATAGATCCTACTTTTATGCATGCTCCAAGAGAAATCCATTACGATATGAGATACATGCATTTTTTAGGGTATTGATTTATTCTATTTTGCATGTATGTTTTACAATAAAAAAAAATTAATCTAATGAATATTTTAAATAGGATTGTATAGGAGTAGTTAATGACAGGCATGTCGATGCATGTGTTGCCAATGATGACAAGATTGCATATATCAAACAATTTGGATATGTTACACAGAATATCTTAGCAGTTTTTTACTAATATGTTCTGCGTTTTTAATGATTGGATGGGAAGGTAGTACTCATGATAATTGCATGTTCAAATTTGCTACTCAACGATGTGAATACAAATTTTCAATGTCGTCACTAGCTTGATATATTCATGCCTGTATATGAAACATTTAATTTAAAGATATGTAGTAATGATAGTATTATTCAGAAAAATATTATCTTATTGATTTAAGATATCCATTGCAACAAGATTTCTTAAATCTCTTCCCCGATATGAGCTATCATCTTCTTGAATTAGAGCGCAACAGCCAAGTGATTGGAGGAAGAAATGAATTGTTCAATAAAAGACACTCATCAATACATAGTGTTATTGAGAGAGCATTCAACGTATGAAGCTAATGGAACAATAAGTGAATTATACTCTGAGGTTTGCCAACATATTCCTGAAAAAACAAGTAAAGATAGTTGCTGCAATGACAGTGTAGCACTAGATCATAACTCATTTTAATCTCTTAAGTGATTAGTTAAGAAGTAAATTGAACTCAAAAGGTTAAACAATCAACTTGTAATCACATCAACCTGTAATCACATAATAAAAATGTCACCAACTTGCATAAAGTCCAATTCAAAGGAGGAGAAAAGCTTAACTCTTACTCATTTCAGATGAAAATAATACAAATATTATTGCACAATCCAAATTGAAAGTTAAAACGATCTCGCTGAGGTTCTTCACCAAATTACATGAAGTTACACCATATTCTCTGAATTTCAACCCAATTTGAGTATAGAATAACCTAACAATAATATTCCTTTTAGAATAGCTTGTTCTTTTTAATAGTTTCTAACATTCATAAAATAGATAGATGAACCCATCAAATGAAGAAGAAATTTTAGACATTATGGAACGAGCAACAATTCTGACTACAATATTATGCAATAATATTGTAGATATTATTGCATAATATTAAATGAAGAAGATATGCTCCAGGGTCATTCAAGCAGAATTCATACTTTGTTTTAAATGTCGGAAGCAATTTTTTGCGATTTGCTCGAAGAATTGTAAAGTAATTATGGTTTGCATGATTGTCTCGATTTACAACTCGGGATGTACAAGCCGTCATATAATATATTATGTCACATAATAATTTCATTCATGCTGCTTTCGAGCTATTCCAATACTTCACAAAGATGATTAGCATAAATTTTGATATAAGGGTTAACTCTTTGGTTAGATTGTAAAACAACATTGTGAAGCTCATAGATCCTACTTTTATGCATGCTCCAAGAGAAATCCATTACGATATGAGATACATGCATTTTTTAGGGTATTGATTTATTCTATTTTGCATGTATGTTTTACAATAAAAAAAAATTAATCTAATGAATATTTTAAATAGGATTGTATAGGAGTAGTTAATGACAGGCATGTCGATGCATGTGTTGCCAATGATGACAAGATTGCATATATCAAACAATTTGGATATGTTACACAGAATATCTTAGCAGTTTTTTACTAATATGTTCTGCGTTTTTAATGATTGGATGGGAAGGTAGTACTCATGATAATTGCATGTTCAAATTTGCTACTCAACGATGTGAATACAAATTTTCAATGTCGTCACTAGCTTGATATATTCATGCCTGTATATGAAACATTTAATTTAAAGATATGTAGTAATGATAGTATTATTCAGAAAAATATTATCTTATTGATTTAAGATATCCATTGCAACAAGATTTCTTAAATCTCTTCCCCGATATGAGCTATCATCTTCTTGAATTAGAGCGCAACAGCCAAGTGATTGGAGGAAGAAATGAATTGTTCAATAAAAGACACTCATCAATACATAGTGTTATTGAGAGAGCATTCAACGTATGAAGCTAATGGAACAATAAGTGAATTATACTCTGAGGTTTGCCAACATATTCCTGAAAAAACAAGTAAAGATAGTTGCTGCAATGACAGTGTAGCACTAG